CACCCCCCCCCCCCCCCCCCCTACCAGATCATGCTGGATCCATCCTCATCCCTTGTTAGTCCAGTGTTACTACAGGATGAAATATAAAGAAACCTAAACATTATTTATACTGGATAACTCTATTAGTTCTGAAATGTTCTCCCTAGAGGTCCAGGAAGGATCACCTCTCATTGATCCAGTGTTTAATACTACAGGCGGAAACCTAAACTAACTGTATTTTATACAATGGATAGCTCTATCAGTTCTAAACTGTTCTGTCTAGAGGTTCAGTAAGAGTCATCTCTTATTGATCCAGAGTTACTACAGGCGGAAACCTAAACTAAACTCACTGTATTTACACTGGATAGCTCTATTAGTTCTACACCGTTCTTTCTATAGATGTGCAGTGAGAATCTTCCCAGTGTATTCATGCTTCCTACTGTTCATTTATTTCTTCAGACAGTCTCCTAACTTTGGCTGCTATCCTTGGGATTTCAATTGGCTGTACAGCAATGGTTATCATCATCGTCGCATTTTGTCAGTTCCGTCTGAAGAATCGTAAGAACAAAGTTCAAGTGAAGAGGCTTGTATTTAACCTTAGAAACTAACACATAGCTAATTCGCGCGATCAATGTGGTTCTAAGGCCGGTGCACGCTAGCGTGTTTAACCATAGTGGTTTAACGAAATGTCATTCGTGACTGGTTCCGTAATAAAGTCGTTCGTGCGTGCAGTCGTGATAGACTTGCGAACACCTTTGGTCATTTGTGGCGTGGACAAATATCGTGGGTGTTTGATCAGCCCGCATAGTAGAATGTTTGCAGTGTGCAGGGATGTTGGTAGACCTGCCACCAGTCTCCAGGAAAAGGACTGGAGACATTTCTATGTCTCATAACTGCACCGAAACTTATCATCATCAACGCTCATCGTCATTTAGGATGATTTGCGCGGCTTTGCGTGGATGCGCACAACAGTACTTAAAAAAAAAGTGCTTGAGTCAAGAGAAGGCCGTGCTTAAGTCAAGAGAAAGTCGCGCTTAAGTCAAGAGAAAGCCGCGATTAAAAGAGCGTACTATAACTATATTGAAATATTGTATGACGGAACTTTCTCTAAGCCGCATTTTAGTAATTCTGTGTTTGAATAATTAGACCATATAGGCTTAGTACAAAAAGATTATTTTAATAATATTTATACTCCGAAACGTAGTTATTAAAATAATCTTTTTGTACTAAGCCTATATGGTCTAATTATTCAAACACAGAATTATATTGAAATACAATAGTAATGCATGCTTTTGCACGGATTACAAACCAAACGTAAAACATTTTGTTTCCTGTCCTTCCGAATTGCCAAAACTCATTAACTCGTAGACCGACTACACAACTTTTGCCTAAAACTGTCACGTGTAACTTGAGTTGTAATCAAGCACACAACTCATTACGTCAACGCAGGGGACTTGTGTGTTTGATTTACAGAGTACAACTCAAGTTGTAAGCAGGTTGCATACGACAGTTGTAGCTGTAGGCAAAAGTTGTCTAGTGTAAATCAGAGACATTTTTGTTAAGTTGCACTGTCAAGGAAGATTCAAAATGCAGCGCTTTGACGAACCAATCAAATTTCATGGAACGAAATTTGCATTGAAAACTGTCGAAAGATGATGCCGTTAAAAACGCCACATTTTTTATACTTGTTTTCATTTTTCGCACCCCTGCATTGCACAGTTGTATGCGTATAGCCCCCAGCCCCCTCAATTTGGTTTACTAATGTGCCTGCACTTTGCGTCAAGAAAGCGAAAGGTCTTAATTCGGCCATGACTTTCAGTTTGCCAATCACTAATTAATCAAATATGGAAATATTTGGACTTGTATTAATTGGTCTTGAGTGGAAAATTCAAATATCGCTTAGTAATCTTTCGCAACTGATATTGATAATATCGACCGCTTATCCAAATATATTCATCAACAATGACAACATTTGTTTATTCAGAATGAATCGATATTCATGTTAAACTAATGACTCACGTAATTTAACATTACTACACCATTTTATTAAAACTCATTTTAATTGCTTAAATTTCCGTTAAAGTTGCTACAAAATTGAACAAGAAAGTGAATTTGCATACAACAGCCGGGCTTTTGTGAAAAATAATTGATCTTGATTAAAGCTTTTGGCAGGAAATTTTGTTTTCAGCAATTTCACAGCCAGAGGTCTTTTCTCATTATGATAACAAAATGCAGTCGTTATTAATTTCGCGTAGTTCAAACAGTGGCTCATTTTCATTTTGATTTTTGGAAAACAAAATGTTACGTTCTAATTTGTTTAACAGTAGATGATTTTGGTGTAAATTAAACGCATTGCCATTGTACGTTGGTTTGCCATTCGTGTTACATTCAAGGACGCTATTATAGGAACGACTTAAAAGGTAAGACTAAAGCGGTTTAATCTAAAAGATATTCATAGTGAATTTTGTAAGTGCTTTCTTTGGGTCAATATTGCGGGTTTAGAAGAAGGCTGTTTTTACCACAAACAGTTAGGAATTTTACAAACGAAAAGTATAGAATTAGGAAGCTAATTCCAAAACAATTGCGTGCGCGCAAATTCCCGGCAGCATTCTGATAGAATTCTTGCAAAAATCTCCAAAAATGCCTTGACGAAGTCTCCGAACGCAAATTTTGTGAAATTTCAAAAACTGTTAAGAGGCAATGTTTTTCGATGTCCTGTATATTTGCGACAAAAAGTGTTCAAAATCGAAAATCTTCTTGGCATACCTCTCAGACTCGGTCTCAAAAATCTTCTTGGCATACCTAGCTTTATTCTCTAGTTTATACAGTTAGCTACCTTTTAAATGCATCTGCCGGTTGAGAAACATAAAATAATAATAGTTAGTCAAAATTATTAATGATGCTTTAATAAAAAAGGCTCCATATTTACAGCAATATAGAAGCAAAACTTACTGATTACTCATTCAGACATCATTTTATCTTTGACGTACACTTTAAAATCTCTTCATTTTAGTATTGTTTTACAGATAAAGCACTAAACATACTTTTTAAGTTTGTTTGCCGATTGAGAAACGTATCGAAAAATAAGAATCATGAGCGCAAGTGGTATATTATATACTCATGAGTCATCAGTCTTGTTTACACTGCAAGCCTTGGCCTAGCCTTGGCCTAGCCTTGGCCTAGCCTTGGCCTAGCCTTGGCCTAGCCTTGGCCTAGCCTTGGCCTAGCCTTGGCCTGGCCTTGGCCAGACCAAGGTAAGTGCGGCGCGTTTACACCATTACACTGTTTTTTTGAGACTGGCTTACT